TAACTTATACTTTAAATACTTATAAATAATAAACAATTATTACCTATAGTCCAATGTATCGTAGCATAATAATATGATGCTTATAAAAATAAGGGACATGTTAATTTAAAAACTTGAATAAAGTAGTACTCCATTATAAGAAACTACATTATATTGTTATTTTTTCAAACATATTAACATATTATGTACCTACTTAAAATTGTGTAAAACAGATTACAGATTTACTGCAGATTTATCAATAATATTATTATGGTGTTAAAAAATATCACCCTGTATACCGATACATACAATAGCTATTAACTTTATTTAATGTGTATATAATATAATATTATACCAGGTATGTATTATTATCATTATTATTATTATTATTATTATTATGGTGTGTATAATATACCGGCGGTGGTGGCGGTGGCGTCTGATTCCGCTAACGAGGGTATCGCGTGCCTAGTCCGGATATATGCCAGGTTTATAGGTATACCTAGGTATATATAGGTAAATGTTGTTTTTTTGACAAACAGGCGGGAAGGCAGTGGTGGTGGTAGTGGTGGCGGCAGCGGCACCGCCGGAACGTTAATCTGATTAGTGCAAAAGAATTTAAAAAAAAAAATTAAAAACTTTCGTATTTTTTTCTTTTACGACGATAATGTGTAAGTATATATACACGATGCTCAAGGCAATAAAAAATGTTCGTTTCAGAATCGTTAAGCTCTCTCACGAGCGAAAAACAATATATATATATATATATTATATTTGCATCATACGCTTGGTTAAGGGCGTTTAAACTTATATATAATACGTATCATATACTTTTACCCAGACTGGAACAATAAAGGTAACTGGCGAAACGTTTAATTATACCGCGGTGGTGAACCGACGTCGGTCGTTATAATAATTTAATACATATATATAAATTGGTTAAAGTATACCTACTAAAGTAATTTAAAAAGGAAAACTGGAAAAATGACTACAGTCGTCCGGTTTAGATAATCGGTATAATAAAGGTATATTGTTGTGTAGATGTGTAGCACATACTATGTACATTTCAGTAGAAAAAAAAATAGAGGGTTGATTTTTCTTCTAATTCGCCAATTGCACATCTCGGCAGTTAATTAATGCGGTCCAATATTGAAAAAATACTATTTGTTTAACGTGTACTGCGCAATAAATTAGAATGTTGTGATATTGTTTCATTTCCATACAACCACAGAACAATAGCATAACTGTCGAGTGTTGATTATAGTGCATGAAAAGCGCAGATAAAGTAATTATTGTAAAACAATTGATTTCTAATTTTATAATCTGTAAATTAATGTTTAAAATAATATAATTCATCCATGCATTAATGTAACTTCATAGTTCATGATGTGAGAAATCAGTCTATTATACAATATTCTCTATTCTGCAGATATCAGATCTCTAAGCATAAGTTTATTTTTTTTAGTAGTTTGTTATTTGTTTGACATTTTTAATGTTTGGACCCTTTAAGTTAGTAGTTAATTGTTTTTTCGTATCAAAATCACAAAATAAATTCTGATGAATTTTGATTGTACAGTTTCTGAGATTTTAAATTATTTTTTTTATCCATCACACTTTATTTTATACGACTTCAACTCTTATTGGCCTCAAAATCACTGCCTTAAGAAATATTATTCCCATACGATAACTATAATAATAAGAGTAATTCAAAAATATGTTGTATAAAGAAAAATGTTAACTGCGAACACAGAATACGTATCAAAATTTAATGAATTTGATGATCTTGACAAATTATTCGTTCATTCAAGTAAATAATGTATTATATTTATGCTTGCCAGATATTGAACTATTTCGTTTTACTTACCATTCAACCTGCTACGGCATGGTGTCAATAGAAGTATCTTAAAAACTTACTTCATCTTCGGACGCTCGATCTTGTGTTTTTTACATGACCGGTATTTTATTTTCCTTTCGCCTGTATAACATTTTTTTTTGCCGTATTAAATTATGTTTTAATGATATTATTAAAGATACTATCTATACAATAATATATACACATACCTGTACGGCTATATCATTTTTATAAACCTCGCTGCAGCACAGTCGCATGATATAATATATACAGACAACAGCGAGTCTCTGTCGATCTCGTCCATCCGGCTGTTGTATATCTTGACTCATATTATATATAATATATATACACACATATAAGTACGGTTAACTCGGGTCCTCTAAACACACCGGTCCGTTCATAAAAATATAATGTTTTCGATTTAATCGACCGACTATAGTTCTCGTTATGTGCGATTAGTGGCGACAGTCAGAAGCCGCTTCCACATTTACGCCCAGCCTAGGCTATCGATTAACTTGTCAAAATCGTCAAAATGAAACTAAAATATTACCATGCACGACAATGGCATGTATTGAACAGTAATTATATACATTTATATAAAAAAAAAAAAATACAAAGTCATTGGTCCATTTACAAAACACTTTTACTACAACAAAACGATAATATCAAGCAATATTCTACGCACGCACACACATTACATATACCTATATAGGTATTTTATAATATTAACACCGGTCTCAGGTCTGTGTGCCTCGCTCTTCGATCAAAATCCTTCTTCTTCTTTCCACCGTTTGATTTATACATTATAATTTATTATTATTATTATTATTATTATCACTATTTTAGTTACCGCTGTGTGTTTCTCAATCGTGATATTATTATTATTATTATTATTATTATTATATGCTACTGCCACCGCCGACTGCGACGTGACGTTCGGTCGTTATCTTCGAGTGCACCTACATAATAATATTATATGTATACGTTCGGCGGTAGCGTTTTTTGACGGCCGATTATTATGGTAATATTTTTTTTTTTATGCTCGTCAGTGTGGGGATAATATTATAACATTATAACATTTGCCTATACCTACCGTGGCCGATAAACATCTGGTTAATGCGATGCGGTCCGAATTAAAAGGTTTCCGAATGAAATCACTTTATGCGTGATGGAATTTTTATTTCGTGGGTGGAGTCCGCGTAAATTAAGTGGTTATTTAAATCCAATACGACTGTCGATTATATTTTTTATTTTTATTCTCAGTAGGAGTATATGTGTATCTATTGTGTGTACACGTCGTGTGTATGACCTCCCGTGTTAGGTTTTATTAAATTAAAATAGAGCGAAAAAATGCGGTTGAAAACTTGTACTGTTGGGCGTGTTAATTCAATAAAAGTTCGATTGTTTTGCATGATGTCATGTTCTTATGATACATATATTCGAATATACGAACGTTATATGCAGGTAGGTATTTTAATAATATATTTTAATCTGTTTTGATTTAATTTATTATTCATTTAATACATTTAAACAGGAAATATGGTAGAATAAAAAAACAGTTTGAGTCAACATGTGTCTGTTACACAAGAAAACGTTTACTTGCCAGAGGGTTCTTGACTACTTGTATAATAATATGGTTGTACTCAAAAAAACACTTAGGAGACAACAACAATCGAAATCCTATAAAAACTTCGTTTTTATATTTGCAATTTCAACAAAAAGAGTAAAATACCTACTACATTCTATTTTGTAGGAAACGTAATACACTTTCCCCCTTACAAATGTACAATTAATTTGTTGAAAATGTAAAATTCAACAATTAGGTGACTAAATCGTATACATTAATAATTATCTTATTAGTATGTGCGCACATCCTATAATGTATTATACACAAGTTCTCATCTTGTTTATTGTTGTTTCATACTTTTATTATTAACTATTAAAAGTCGTTTGATGACTTTTAAAATAAACATAATTATATTTCCTCTAAATACATTAAATCCTCAATTTTAAAAGCGAAATAACAGGAACAAAGTATAATTGTAATAGTATCTACTTTTTAATTAAATTCCCTTTTTATTGCGTGTTATAATTGTACTATGACATTCAAAAGATCACTTTAAAAACATTGATAATACTTTAATTCATAAATGAATACTTAGATTTTCATGATTATTTATTAACTTCTTTCATTTAAAATGCACATTTATTTAAATGTACCTATATTACTGCGAAAAGTAGAAAACTTTTCAGTTTGATTAAGTAGATAGTATTAATGTATATAATATAATAATGGGTAGTGAACGATTAATAAATAATGCTAAAGAATGTTCTCTTCAATGTCGACAAAAAACATTGAAAAATTAAAACACTTACACTAAATTCAACAATTTTGAGTAAACAAAAATATTATTATATATTTTCATTTAGCCACTGAAAATATGTCTCAGTAGTGGATGATTTATTTTTTTCCTGATTTTCGAAGCAAGAGAGCAATATTTCTTTATGGCAGTATATTTATTTTAATTTATCCAATTAATCGCCAGAGTCAAAATTCATGACTGCTTTATTTTGCTTTGTGGCGTTCTTTCACTGAATACAAATTAATTATAGTGTGATATGTTGAGTGTCAAAACGCAATATTTAGAAATTCAATATTGTTATATTTTAGTATATTATATGGCTGTCTTAAAATCAATTTTGTATGCAATCAGGTTTTGCATTTACTTAAAAAATTGTGAAAGGCCAAAAGTCTAACTTTTCGGGTTTAAAGGAGTGTTTTATAATATTTGAAAATGTTATATTATAACCTATAGTATGTTTGCAAGTATTTAAGTTTTTAGTTTAGGTAAAAACTCTTTAAAATATCTCAAGTTCAAACTTAAAATCGATTTTTTTTTTAACTTTACATTTTAACAGTTTCTATTCTAAGGGCTCGAGTTTTATATAGCTATATTCATGTATACATTATTATTTATTATACTATGTACCATATACACGTCTTATCAAATATAGATTTATTAATTATTAATGTTAACGAGTTAATACGTATACCACGTAATTGTGTAATAATAGGTACTTGTGGCACAATATCCGTTCAAATATAGACTTGTTTGAGCGATTATTGATTATACCTAGTAATAAAATTAACTTAGAGCATACTTTTTTTTAGGAGAAAACAGCTGCAATTCTAGTGACACTGAACAAAACCGTCATCAGCTCTTGACGTCCGACCAACATAACATAATGCGCAGTGGCGGCTGCGGAGGGGTTGGTGGTGGTTGTGGTGGAGGAAGCGCCGGCGGAGATGGAGGAGTAGGAGGTGGAATAGGAGGTGGTGGTGGAGGAGGAGGCCCGCCACAACAGCGTCGGTCAGCCGACATGGACGACATGAGCGGCGGTGGGTGCGGCGACAGCAGCGACGGCGAACCGGACGATGAACAACTATCCGGCGGCCGGGCGAGCGCGTCACCCGCGGCAGCGGCCGGTGGTATGTCACCCCCCGACAAGAAAAAACACCGCCGGAATCGCACCACGTTCACCACCTATCAGCTGCACGAGCTGGAGCGAGCGTTCGAGAAGTCGCACTACCCGGACGTGTACAGCCGAGAAGAGTTGGCCATGAAGGTCAACTTGCCGGAAGTCAGGGTCCAGGTGAGTTATCCTTTTATTTTGGTTTACACTGCAACCGTACTATATTCACAGCCAATTATAGTGTAACTATTATAGTGTACGTAACCCCCGACCCCGATGCGCCTGTTTGAAATCTTCCTATACCTAGGCTAAATAAGAGGCAAAGAAATCCCGATTCTAAGGGCCATCTAACCTAATCTATTTTCTATGCAGTATGCCATAATATTATTTATTATTATATAACTGTTTATACCACAATACCTACACTCTGTATAGGCATTTCTTAGTTCCCCAAAGTTCGAAAACGACTGCAATTCGTAAATTATTTTCAGGGTTTTTTTTTTTATTATTATTAGTTTCGGTTGGACTTTCAAAAGGTTAACGTCGGAAATGTCAATATGGTAAAGTCGTCGTTATCTGCGTATTATATTGTAACATTTGTTATTAAGGATATTGTTGACAGAATGCTTATCTGAAATGCGTGGATCCATGAGTAGCAAACATTCTTAAACTTTTTGTCGCGTGTGTGTGCAGTTTAACTACTTATAAGTTACATCCAACATTTCCAGCATCACTATGACACTATATTATTATAATAATTTATGAACATTTTGTACCGTGGTATACATCCTCTACTAGTGCATCGATACCTGGTATACCGATATAATTTTACTATGAGTACTTGAGTACCTACTACACTATCTAGTATCTACACTACAACTATATTACTGTTTATAAATATATATATATTACTACAACATAGTTTTACGTATAATGTCCTAGAACTTAGAAATAATTAATAAAACAACAAATGCTATGATTTTTAGTTCCCAAAACGTATTCACAGTGAAATAAATTGTCAAAATTGTTATGCATTATGATTTACAAAGATTGGTTTGGTATTGAAATACGATTAATGTGAGAAATGCATTGCCAATATTGGTGCAATTTGGTTTAACATTTTAATATGAAGAAGGTGAACGTGGTATGTATATATATAATGTATTATACAAATAATAAATTAATAACAGTTAGTCGTTTTATGTTTCACTTGGCTTTATGTTGTGCAAACACTAAACAATGTATACGTTTTAATACGAGTAATTAATAAATAATAATTATGATTATTACGCGACTCCCTTTTATTTTTTTCATAAATTCTTATTGTAATTCCATAATCGTCAATAATATGACTATAGAGTATAGACAATAGACTTTTATATTAACTTACTACTGACAATATTAAATTATTTTTTTATCATTATCTTCGTTATCAAAAAAGTATTAAATACCACTTAATTGAATAGTTACAATACGTCTTGTAATGATACTGTTAGATTACTATTAAACTATTTACATTTCTATTCGTGTATGTAATAGTACAATTTTCTGACGTTATTCTCTGTAACATTCAATGTTTAACTAAATTAATTATGTACGATTGGACGAAATTCTATGAAAATTCTATTCTGTTATAACTCTTAATTATTAAACGAATTCTATGAATTATTTGAACCAAGTGAGTAGAAGAGTATTCATAATATCTAATAATTTACATATAAAATATATTTTATACAGTAATTTATTGTTAAGTGTATTTTGATGAATCAAGAGATCCAATTTTCATCATGAAATCCCTATTTATTTTTAGCCAAATAATGCAATTAATAAGGTTAGTTTCACCTAAAAAAATTATACTTATGAAATTATTCGGTAAACTTTGGTATCCACATAAATGTATTTATTTAGGGTTAATAATGTTTTAATCCTAATATATATGGGCATATTTCTATTATCTAATTCAATACTACAATATGTTTGTAAACTGTAACACAAATTGTATTAAAATAATACAAAAAATAACATCATCATATAATTTAAATAATTTAGAGATATTTAATTATAATATTTTATAACTATAAAAAACCTTTTTAAAACAATTTTTAAGCTTTTTGAATCATTTAATTTGTGTTAAATTGTTAGACATCATTATAAGACTAACAGGAGTCAAAAGTATTGAGATTATAGTAAACAATAAGCATGATTGTCACAATACAAAATATCAGGTTCCACATTTATTGAATTTCTATATTTTATAATTTAAAAACAAACATAATATAGGTAGTAGATACATAAATATATTTTAGTATGTTCTAATAATTCACTTGCAATAAATTATTATTAGTATTTTAATATCACAGAATCATGGTAGGTAAATCAATTACAAATTATAGATAGGTACCATACTACAATTTAATAAATTTGATTTTCTTATCCTACGAATTATAAAGAATTATACAAGATGATCCATTTAAGTGTTTACTTATAACTGTATAAGTAATAACTAAATAGTTATAAGTATTTATCTATTTGTTTAAAACTGTGTGTTCGATGTTAGATAAATTGAAAACTTAATAGGTACTCCGAAAAACATTGTGTCGTTAAAAATAAGAATTAAAAAAGACACGTAACGGTAAAAAAATACAATTTTTTCAAAAACATTGTTGTGCAAACTCATTAAATTATGTGTAAATAATATTTTCAAAAAACTTAAACCTTTTAGAAATAATGAGTGTAGACATACTTACGTGGACCGACCTGTATCATTCTCATCATAATGTAAAAAAAACAAAAAAGTCGATTCTATAGACGAAAACAGGTGTATCCAATTTATATTCATTGAAATACAAAATAACTAATAAATTACAGTCAACAAAAGATCATATTTTTAAGTTAAAAAATAAGTAGGTATAAAAGTGCGTTGGCAAGTGCGCCTATTCAGTTTTGTTTTATAATGAATATAACTGCTAACCAAATAACAAGTTATAAACTGCAGTGATTTGAATGAACCATAAAATGTTTCTGATTGCTATCTAAAATCGAATTTTGTTATTCAATTATCTCTGCTTAATTGGTACTGTGATTAAATTATAGTTTGATTAGTTGAATATAGTTAACGTAGATTCAGAATTTCCACTGAGTAGACAAATATATGTTATATGTGTGTGCGTATGCGCAAACATATACGTGTGTGCGTGTGTGCGCGATACCTCCTCAAGAGTCTTTAGTTAAATTATATAATGGATGTGACTATACGTTTGTCATTTAAATGCATCCACAAATAATATTCCTACTCTCTCTATTTACGTTCATCGTACGAAATTAGTATCGTAACCAAGTTTTTTGTTCTGATACTGCTACAACCAAGTATACAATTTTTATTTTTATAAGTTGTATTATGTGTGCATTAGCTAATATATAATTGAATAAAAAATTAAAAACAGTAGGTACCGTGCCGGTTCTTGTAGCTAAGTGAGAAAGAAATCATTATATAAATAAAAATACGTGCCACTATTACGTGTACCTTTCGGCATCAGTGTTGTATCTTGTATAGTGTTCGTATAAAAAAGAAAACCGCGGGCTGCAATATTTACATCACATAAATTAATTTTAGAACGCAGTTTTAACTAATTCCGTTTTCACTCGAGGATCAACAATAAAACTTTTAAACGACAAAGACAATCTAATTAATTTTATAATGTTTTAATAAAATATGATGATATTATTATAGAAAAGTTCAATTAATAGTATTGAGATGAATAATGTAATAATCACTGTTTGAATTAAATGCAAATATAGCGTTTAATTTTAATCTCAGTACTCAACCGTTATTACTTAATAAAAACCAAAATTTTAATTATAATAACGTTTAAATTAAAAATCTTTTTATCGCGTTTTTACATTATCCTGATCACACAAAACCTGTGCTTAATGTATACATAAAGACCTACACCAACAAAATATTAAACAGGTGTCTCCGGATCGCATATTATGCAAAACATTGAGAATCAGTTCTAATCTATAGGTTATAACTTATAATAGCTTATTATAGCTAGACGTCTGGAATGATCAGTAATCACATAAATAGCAATATCAAATTCGGAGGAGAGCTTGTGGATTAAGCAGTTTCGCAGATGAATTAAATATTGTGTGATGTGTGTAACATCATAGAATATAAACTCAACATTTTGAATTAGACAACCCACCCAAAATAGATTTTTGATTTCACTTAATGACACCTCAAGTTCTCATTCCCAAAGTTTAATCAAACAATCCGGGAAGCCTTTACAATTCCCATGTGGCTTGCAGTTAGTCTTCATAAAAAACTAGGCATTATACACAGGTACTTCATTGTCTGCGGTGTAGGTAGGAAATTGTTTTGAAAAAATGTAATATTACCCGGTTGAGTGAGTAAAAGGGATTTCGACTACGGTGCATGACCTATACATTGCATTATATTTATAGGTATAAGTTGAGGTGAGTTAGTTAGGTTAAAGTAGGTAAGTTAGGTTATATAGACGAGTATATATTGTTTTCGAAAAGATCTTTTCTTGCTCGGCGTTTTTCCAGGTCGCGTATCGTTATTGTCTCTGAGGGAGAGGAAGGGTGGTTATAGAGGGTGCGGGTTTAGTGTGATGACGATGGCGGGGTGGGGAGTGAAAATTGCCGTTAATCGTATCATATTTACTCGGCCGCGTCGACGCGTTCGCTCGAGACGGGCGGGGGAAAAAAACAATCGCATTTTCCGGTGCGCCGCACCGCCGTCGCCGCCACCGCTGCCACACCGTATGTATAATATGTATCCATTATATATCCTGCTGCCCGGCACACTTGACTCGTTTCCCACAAGAATGTTTTCAGTCCGCCGCCGCTCCACTACTATTTGTTACGACCAACATTATATTCGCAGGCAGTTTGTGTGTGTGTGTGTGTGTGTGTGTGTGTGAGCTATGTTGTGTATATGTACTAAACCTACAAGGTTGTTGTTTTTCCCGGTGTAATAAACGTGATATGGCGGTCGCTGAGAGATCGGCAAATGAAACGAGACAACGTCTCTTTATATAATATATTATAATCGCTTGCGGCCGGGCTTCATTCTCATATTTTAATAGAGTGATTCGTGTGATACACAACGTCATTATACGGGAAATTTATAATTTTGAAAATATTTTTTCCTATAA